AACTACGAAATGTATAACCTATTTCAGACAAAAACGACTTAAAATCCCTTGCTTTTTGTTGCTGTGCACACCTACCATTAACGCTTATATGAAGGAATACCCCACCCGCCCAGGTAGAGAAAGGCAGTGAAAATATGCCACAGAAATTTTTCAAACAATGCAGTTCCGGATTTGAACGAAAATATTGGCGGATCGACGGATTTGCATACCCCTCTTCACCCCCCTCATAAAAGTTTCATGAAAGGTCGGGGGCCAATCAAAACTAACAGCTCGCCAGTCACGCACTGTTGAAAAACAAAACACATGTTAACTGTTTTTGCGCTCGAAGAACCATCCTCGTTCCCAGGGCTTCATCCTTGGGAACGAGGTTGGCGAAGAAAGACTGTTCTCTGTCAGTTACATATTTGTTTACGTCAATACTGACAAGTGATTTTTCTCTACAGCCGAGATCTACTGCAAAGGATGTTATGGCAGGCAGTTCGGTCCTAAAGGTTACGGATATGGTGCTGGAGCAGGGGCCCTGACGCTTACCGGAAAATAAAAGCACCTCCGATGGAGCTCCTGTTTTATGGACGATGGAATAGATAATAACACTAAATTGTCTATTTTTTATATTAGTTGAGTGTATTTTCTCTTCTCGAAATCTCCAAGTAAAAAGGTTTTATTATACGTACAGTTATAACTAGGTGGAATCTTTAGGAAAGGCTCATTCCGTACAAAGGCAAAGAGTATGTTGTAGGTTAAGAAAAAAGAAATTGGTCTCTCATTAAAGGTGTGAATAACATGGCGTACTTTTGTATCTTTGATGTAGCTTACTGGGGAGGGAGGCGGGGAAGGGAGGTTCAGAAGATGTTGTCGCAGACCTGAACGTACAGCCCATAAACTTCGTGGTACGAGAACAGTTCACGTCAAAAGCTGCGAACTCTTTTTATCTTGATAATTTGATTTTATCAACTGGGTTGATAATGTGAATTGGCCACCGTAAAGAGATTCGAAAGCTTTATCAACCCAGTTGTTAAAACCAAATTATCTTGTTATACTCCCCACCGACGCAGCACCACAGTTTCTTTGGAAACTTACCCCCTCTTTTTCTCTTGGTTTTGTTTTCTCAGTGGAACATTCATTTAAAATTGTACAAATGGCAAAAACCAGCCACCAATAGAAGAGTTCTGTGCAGGCCCGCAAATGATCCCCAAATTGGACCGTAAATGATCCCCGGACCGCAAAGGATCCCGGGACTGATATCGAAACGATTCCACCACAAAAAGTTAGAAATGGCGTGGACTCCATGAAAAGTCTACGGATGGATATATATTTTTTAATTATCCCAGGTGAAGAAAAGACTAGCACCTCAGGCATAAAAGCAATAAAAAACGTTAAACAGTCGGGGCAAATTACCAAAGTGACATGTGTCGACTAAACGCACCACAAAAATAGACATGAATCTTCGAAGATGCCTCTGCTATCTAATTAACCGCTTAGCACTTTTACCTGTACACTTCTTATACCTGCGTCTTTGATAGACACGGGCTTCCATGACACTGAACAAAGTTTTTCGTACGAGTTACCACAGTGTTCTTTAGATAGACTTATAAACAATTTACCTATCTAGAATGCCGTAGGATTAGAGTTGTCGCCTTTGCTCTTGTAATTTTCTTTTCAACGTCAATAATCTCCTCTGTGCCTCAAGCTTCGCGAAAATGTAGTCAATACACCCGGGAAAATGGGTTACAATTGGAAAAATGGGTCACACTCGGAGAAATAGGTCACACTTTGAATGATGGGTCACACTTGGAAAAATGGGTCACACTTGGAAAAATGGGTCGCACTTGAAAGAATGGGTCACACTTGGAAAAATGGGTCGCACTTGAAAGAATGGGTCACACTTGGAAAATGGGTCACACTTGGAAAAATGGGTCACACTTGAAAAAATGGGTCACACTTGGAAAAATGGGTCACACTTGAAAAAATGGGTCACACTTGGAAAAGTAGGTCACACTTGAAAGAATGGTTCACACTTGAAAAAATGGGTCACACTTGGAAAAATAGGTCACACTTGGAAAAATGGGTCACACTTGGAAAAATGCGTCACACTTGGAAAAATGGGTCACACTTGGAAAAGTGGGTCACACTTGGAAAAGTGGGTCACAATTGGAAAAATGGGTCTCACCTTGAAAAATGGGTCACACTTGGAAAACTCCAAACTCCAAACCATGGCAAACTATACATTTTTAAAAAGCTTAAAGACGAAAAATTACGGAAAAAATATTTGTGTACCCTATAACTGTATTGTAACCTGACACCGGCTGATTAAATCTGCCACCTGCTGGGGAATGCCAGGGCTTACTTGAGAAAAGATAACTCCTACAAGAACTGATCAAAAGGAATAATTTTTAAATTTTAAAAAAGAAGACAAATAGCTTGCTGTGATTAGCGTAGAGAATTTTGAAAAGTTAAAAACAGATGAAATGATGACCAGTTAAATCTGATACAGAAAATGTAGCGTACGTTTCAACACATAACTTCGACAGAATGCACTGCATGGAAAAGTTCTATGCGTATCCCACAGAACGTACTAAGAACAACAAATCCTGAAAATTTTA